AACCCTATAGCAAAAACCTCTCAAAAATAAATAAATACATAAAATAAAAAGAAATTCTGGTCTTAGCATCTATGTATGCATCTCTAAACAACACTGCTCAATTTTGTTTGTAAGTGGAATGATACTTTTTTGTGTCTTATTTTTCTCAACTTGTTTGTGAGGTATATTCATGTTGCTACACATAGCTATTTGTTTATCTATTTATTGTTGCATAGTACAGATGTTCCTCTATTTTTTATTTTATTTTAGGTTTTTTGCCACAAGGCATGGAGAGAGACAGAGAGAGAGATTGAGAGAGTGAGAAGTCACTTCCCAGGGGTTACGCCGAATCCCTTCTCCACTCTCCCAAGATTTGGGGCACTCACACACACACACACACACACACACACACCTGGCTTAGATCTCAAGCCACTGGTCTCAAACTCAAACCTTGGTTGGCCATGTGGAAATCCAGTGCCTCAACCACCACACCACCTGCCGGCATAGATGTTCCTCTATTTGCATGGGATTATGTTCTGATAATTCCATTGTAAGTAGAAATTGCATCTAATACTCCAATAAACCTATTGTAAAGTTGAGAAGGTAAAAGTCAAACCATCTATATAAGTTGAGGACCATCTATATTTGTTACATGAATATATCGCAATCTATTTGTTTCTTTCTTTTTATTTTTTAATTTGTTAGAGGGTTTGTGCACTGAACAGAGGGAGAGACAGAAATAGACAGAAGCAAAGGAACAAGAAAGGGGAGCAAGCATCTCCCAGTGGGATGAAGCATGTTCAATCCCTTCTCCTTCATTTGAGACCTGGGGCGTGCGTGCTCACGTACCCAACATGGCCAGGATCCTAAATGCACAGCTGGCCATGTGGAATACAGTTCCTTTAACCACTAAGCCACAAAGAAGATCCCCACAATCCTTTTTTTTTTTTTTAAGTTTGTTATAGGGCACATGTACTTACTGGAGAGAGAGACAGAGAGAAAGTGAGAAAGCACCTCCCAGAGGGGTTAGCCACACCATAATCCCTTCTCTCTATCCTACTCTCAAGATTTTGGGCACACACGCACACATGCTTGACAGGTTTTCAAGTCTCCAGGTCCAGGACTGGAACCATGTAGTTGGCCATGTAAGACCCAGTTGCCTCAGCCTCCACACCACCTGCAGGCCCACACAATCTATTTTTTCATTCCATTGTTGGACGTTTGAGTTGTTTCCAGTTTGAGCTATCCTAAGTGATGTGGCTGTAACATTCTTGTACATGTTTCTCAGTACATACTTGCAAAAGTTTTTCTTATCTTTCTTTTTTTGTTTGTTTTGTTTTATTCTGTTTTTAGAGAGATTTTTGCTATAGGGCATGTGTGCTTGCCAGAGAGACAGAGTGAGGCAGAGAGACAGAAAGTGAGAAATCACCCTTCAGGGAGGATGGCCACACTGCAATCCCTTCTCCTACATTCTCCTCTTGGGATTTTGAGCATGCAAGCACATGCACCCAGCGTGACTTTTAAACTGCCAGGTCTGGGATTCACGCTGCAATCAGCTACATGGGAGTCCAAGGCACAACCATTATGCCAACTGCTGGTCCCATTTGCTTGTTTTTAATTTGCCAGAGCATGCTCTCACCAGAGAGACAGAGAGAGAAAACATACCCCTTAAGGAATAGTCACACCACATTCCCCATCTCTCCCCTCTTTGGAGATTTTGGACACACATGTTTGGTTTTTTTTTTTAGAGATTTTCACTGTAGGGCGCGTGCGCTCGCCAGACAGACAGAGAGAGACATAGAGATAGAAAGCGAGAAATCACCCCCCAGGGGGGATGGTCACGCCGCAATCCCTTCTCCTCCATTCTCCTCTCGGGATCTTGGGCACGCACGCACACGCGCCCGGCGTGAGTTTTAAGCCACCGGGTCCAGGAGACGAACCACGGTCGACTACGTGGGAGTCCAGCGACATAGCCATTACGCTAACTACTGGTTCCCGGACACACATGTTGACATGTTTTTCAGGCTGGTCGGTCCAGGACTCAACCATGCAGTCGACTATGTGAGATTCAGCTGCCTTAACCACAAGGCTGGCTATAGGCTTGTCCTTGAAAGAGTTTTTCTGGGGTATAGAATTAAGAGTCATAGCTGGCAGGTGGCATGGTAGTTAAGCCACTAGACTCCCACATGGCCAACTGCTGTTCAAGTCCTAGACCTGGAAGCTTGCTTTCTCACTCTCATTCTCTCTCTGATTCTGATCAAATTTTAAAATAAATAAATAAATTATTTTAATTTGACCAGAGAGGGACACACACACACACACACACACACAGAGAAAGCAAAAGTGAGAAAGCAAGCCACCAGGTCCAGGACCTGAACCGTAGTTGGCCATGTGGGAGTCCAGCATCTTAACCACCACCGCCACCTGCCAGCCCTGAGAAGCAAAATGTTTTAACCAGAGGTGGGAATAGGATCAAGAAGGCTCATACTTTCTTGCTTAAAACCCACACTAGATTTCTTTTTTCTTTCTTTCTTTCTTTTTTTTTTTTTTTGATAGAAGTTCATGCATGAGAGAGAGAGAAAATCCTTGATAGGGTCTCCTTGGACACAATGGCCTTTCCCAGCCCTCCAGTTTCCCAAGATCATAGATGATCACGTGTGTGCCTGTTCAGGCCTAACTGGAATCCATACTGAGATAACCATAACTTTCAGGGTGTTAGTGTTACTGCTGCATCACTGTGGCTGAGTCACATACATGTATATTTCTGTTTTTTTTTTTTTTTAAAGACAAGGTTTCCAGGGGCCAGCAGGTGTTGTAGTGGTTAAGGCATTGGATCCCACATGACCAGCTTAGCAGTTCAGGTCCCAGATCTGGCAGCTTGAAAATCATAGCAGGTGTGTGTGTGTCTGTGTGTGTGTGTACTCAAAATCCCAAGAGGAGAATGGAGGAGAAGGGATTGCAGTGTGGCTGTCTTCCCTAGGGGGTGAGTTCTCACTTTTCCTCTCTCTGTCTCTGTTTCTCTTTAGCAAGCACATGCTCTATGACAAAAAAAAGAAAAAAAACTAAAAAGAATTTTTAAAAAAAGAAGATAAGGTGTGTCTATATTGGCTAGGTTGGCTTTGAACTCATGATTGCCCTGTCTCTGCCTCCAAGTAGCTGATACGATAAGCACACACCACTGTGCCCTGCTGATTTTCTCTTTTTACTTGGAATAAGATTCAAATGCCTGTAAGGCCCTGGGTGATGGCACTTTGCCTTACTCGCTGACGTTGCTGCTGTTAGGACTCTCCCTTCTGCTCATGGCATTAACCATCCCCACTCTGGTATTTCCATAGTCTCCCTGACCACCAAATTTTGCAATTGCCAGTGCTCCTTATCCTTTCTTCAGCTTTATTTTTCTCCTTGGCCCAGCCACTTGGATTCCACCAGCCTCACACAGTACTCCCTCCTCTGCCCAGGCTTGACAGATACTATCTCCCCAAAAGTCTTTAAGGATTGTCATATCCATAGTGTGGGAGCTGTCCTACTGCCCCTTCTGATAGATCTCCCCTTCTGAATCACTTTTTGATCACATTACTCTGTTATAATGTTATATGTAATAGCCATTCTCATGCTCTGACATAAGCTAATAAATTTGTTAGTTTGTCTTTTTTTAAAAAAATATTTAATTTTATTTTATTTATTCATTCATTTATTTTAATTTGACCAGAGAGAGAGAGAGAGAGAAAGTGTGAAAGCAAGCCACCAGATCCAGGACTTGAACCATGGTCAGCCATGTGGGAGTGTCCAGTGCCTTAACCACCATGCCACCTACTGGTCCCATTTTTTGTCCCCACTCTACTCCACCCCTCACTTTTTAAAAAAGAATTACTTTTTTATTTAACTTCATTTATTATTATTGTTATTTTCCAGTTTGATTAGAGAGGGACAGAGAGAGAGGGAAAGTGAAAAAGTAAGCAACCAGGTCTGGGACTAGAACTGCAGCCGGCCATGTGAGTCCAGCACCTTTAATCACCATACCACCGGCCAGCCCCAACTCACCTGTCACTTTTATAAGACCTCCTTTGTCCTACCAAGGTTTGACACACACTAGGCCCCCAAATAATAGTTGCCCAAGCTGGTTGTCAGTCTCCCAGAGGAGGCCTGGAATCCCCACCTTCACTCTTGGGACTTGTTCCTTCTGGAAAGTTCCAGAAACCAGGCATTCCCTTTCCTCTGCCTGCTTCCAACTCATCCTTGATGTTCCCCCAGAGTCCTGCTCCTGCTACTGCTGCTGCTGCTTCCTTAAGACCTCTCGGAATGCACTCTGGCAGCCTGAAGCAGCAACTCTGGACAGCAGGTTTGAGAGACCCAGGCAGGTGTCAGAGGGCTGGAATGCAAGAAATACTTAATTTTTTTTTTACTTTTATTTATCTTCCTTCCTTCCTTCCCTCCTTTCTTCCTGATAGAATGCATACATGCATGAGACAGAGACAGAGAGGAGCACCCTCCAGAAGGTCTGATTATGCCACCATCCCTTTCTTCCATTCCTTCAGCCTGTTGGATCCTGGGCCCTGGCCATGCATGTCTAGAGTGAATCAGGAGGACCAGGCTGGGGATTTAAACTGCGGTTTCCATGTGGGACCCACCTTCCCTTAAGCAGCACATTGCCACTGCACCATGGAGATAGAGAGCATGTGTACATACAGGAGAGAGAGGAAAAGAGAAGCACTCTCAACACGGTCTCATCACTCTGCAAACCTCTTGCCCCTGCTCTCCAGGTCTTCAGTATCCTGGGCATGCACACCCACCTGGTTTGTTTCAAGTCACCCAGACTGGGGATCCAAACCCTCAGTCAGCCATGTGGCTTCCAGCACTGCAGTTCAGTATGCTACCAACTATGCCACCAAGGCTGGGCTAGAAATACTTTTTTTTTTTTTTTAAGAATTATTTTCTTTAACTTTATTCATTTATTTTAATTTGACCAGAGAGGGATAGAGATTAAGAGAGGGAGAAATGAGAAAGCAAGCTGCCAGGTCCGAGATTCGAACCCTGGTCAGCCATGTGGGAGTCCAGCGTCCTTAATCATTATGCCACCTGCCGGCCCCCAGAAATACTTCTTAATTCAATAAATACAAAACCTTCAGAGATGATAAGACCTTGCCAAGTGAAGAAGAGAGAAAGTGCCCTTCAAGAGAAGGCCCGGTGTGAACAAAGATTGGAGGTATGGAAGCACACGATACTGAAGAACGGGTTCTGATCTGGTGCAGTGGCAGGGTTTTCAGTGGCAGGGAGGGGAGGAGAGCACTGCAGGCAGGCCTGGAAGGGGAAGGCTGTATGGGGAGGTCTGAGCTCCCTGCAGGATCAGCAAGGCTCAGCGTGTCTTAGGTTTAATCCTGCCCCCCACAGTCAGCCCCTCCTACTCCACCCCTGCCCTCCCTTTCACCCAGCCCCCAGCCTAGCTGCTCCTACAGCTGAATGGACTTCTCTCTGGGCCTACGCTTGGGGCCTCGCATCAAGAAGGCTGCCCACCAAGAGCCCCCTTCCCCCTCCAGGCATGGCCTGCTGGCTGCCTCTCCTTGTCTATCCTGTTCCCCCTCTGCCTGTGCCTGCCCCTGCCCTTGCTGTCCTCCTCCCACCTGCTCCTGCACTGCTTGTCTCTCTTATGCGGCTACCTGCCCCTCCTGTGCCTCCATCCCTGGCCCACCCTGTACCTGCTCTTACCCTCCCTGCCCTGCCTGTCCTCCTCTAACTTGTCCCCACACCTCTTGTGTCCCATACTCTGGCCCGCCCCTGACCTGCTGCCACCCCTCACCTTGCCCCATTTACCCTTGCTCCAGAGGCCGATCTGTCTGTTCGAGCTCCTGCCTAGGCTGCTGTGACAGCTGTGGCTGGGGGCGGGGGGGTGGCCGAGGGCCTGCCTGGGGGCCGACAGCCCCCATAGGCTGCTCCAGCTGCTGCTTCCGGGGACAACGCACTTCTCGGGGGCGCTGTCTTATAGTTTAGGGGACTGTTGCTCTCTGAGAGATTGTCAGTCTCCCAGAGCTTTTGTGTAGCTGCTTCTTCAGGCAGAGAGGCAGGAGCTCTGGGTGGAGTGAGAAAAGGGATCTTCCGGATACTTCTCCCAAGCAGGTAGAAGCAGGAGTCCTGGACAGTGACCAGGAATATCTGCTTCGAAGTTAGCTTCTGGGCATGCTTCTGCTGGATTCCGAAACTTCTGGAATGGAAAGTGATCTTCTCAGAGCCTCCCCATGGCCCCTGCAGGTGAGCAAGTTGATTATTGCTTCCCCTGTGCTCCACTGGAGATCCTTCTTTGCATGTCTTCTCCGCATTTCATGAATAACATGGATTGTTCTTTTAGAGGAGGTAGATGACCCTTTGTCCAGAGGCCACTTTTGACCCTTAGACCTTCATCCATATCCCTGACTGACCTAGCCTCTGGACCCCTGACCTCTCACCTTGAGTCAGGCAGAGAAGGTCAGTGGCCCTTGGTCCAGTGGAAGAGGCTAAGCAGAGTTTCTGGTTACCCCTTCCCCTTGGATATTCTTTTTTTTTTTTTTTTCCCAAAAAAACTGTTTAATTGCTAGAGGTGTATGTGCTCACCAGAGATAGAGAGACAGAGAGGGAGAGGGAGAAAACACCCCTGAATGGGGCATGGTCACACTGCAATCCCTTCTCTATTTCTCTATCCTGTTGGGATTTGGGGCACATACACATGTCCAGCATGTTTTTTGAGCCACCAGGGCTGGGATTCATTCAAACTGTTGTCTGCTACATGGGATCTGGTTCCCTTACGCACCAGGGTATCCAGCCTGCCCTGGATATCCTTGACATCTTTCATGGTCTTATGTGTGTCACCAGGATTCTCAGACTGGATGTCTTTTCCTTTCAAAGCTCTGAGAACTCACTCAGTCTTGTGACCTCAATCTTGTAGCAATAATCTCATCTCTGACACCCATGCTCATCTGGCATGGGGACAAGAGAAGCTGAGAACCCTTGATTCAGGCTCTCAATGATGCCATCTACACAAAGCTGGTTGCTAGTTGGAAGTCCCCTGACCCTGGGGATGTGGCTGGTAGAGACAACTGGAAGTTAGAGACTTGGGTATCTTCCTAGGACTAGCTTGTAGGCTGACAGTCCCTCTGTCCCCCTCCACATTTCTCAAGTTCTCTAGCTCCTACGCTAACCTGTTTCAATCTTCTTTCTCTTAGCCTCCTTCTCTAGGACCCTTTGTTCTTCCTTTTCTCTTTCTTTCTTTCTTTTAGAAGTCTTTGCCTTAGGCCACGTGCTCTCCTCAGAGAGAGTGAGAGACAGAGGCAGTGAAAGGGAATGTGAAAAATCACCCGGAATGTGAAAAAAATTGGCACACACACATGTGCCAAACATGATTTTCAAGCCACGGGGTCCAGGACCTGAACTGCACTCAACCATGTTGGAGTCCAGAGACATAACGGCTACACCATCTGCTGGCCCCCCTTTCTATTTGTGCTGCTTTTCACTTCTTTCTACTTCACTCTCTCCATTTCAGTTTCCTTCTCTGTCTCTGGGACATATTGCCTTCACCTAACTTGTGTCACCACTATTTCCCCTCCCACTCTCTCTTTCTGCCCCCACATCCCCTCCTAATTTAAGATCACATGTCTTAACACACATGCATTTTTTTTTTTGAGAGGTTTTCGCTATAGGGCTTGTGCGCTTGCCAGACAGACAGAGAGAGACATAGAGACAGAAAGCGAGAAATCACCACCCAGAGGGGATGGTCACGCCGCAATCCCTTCTCCATTCTCCTCTCGGGATCTTGGGCAGGCACACAAACGCGCCCGGTGTGAGTTTTAAGCCACCGGGTTTGGGACGCAAACCGCGGTCGACTACGTGGGAGTCCAGTGACATAGCCATTACGCTAACTGCTGGTTCCCAACACACATGCATTTTTTAAAAAATAATTATTTATTTAATTTGATTTATTTATTCATTAATTTAGTTTAGTTTGACCAGAGAGAGAGACACAGAGAGGGGAGGGGGGAGGAAAGAGAAAATCAAGCCACTAGTTGCGGGACTCGAACTGTGGTCATCCATGTGGAGGTGTCTAGCATCTTAACTATCACGCCACCTGCTGTTCCCAATACACATGTCTTTTTCTTCCCCTATCCCGTCTTTTTTTTTTTTAATTTATTCATTCATTTATTTTTTAATTTGACCAGAGCGAGACAGAGAGAGAGAGGGAAAGTGGGAAGGCAAGCCACCAGGTCCAGGACTTGAACGGTGGTCGGCCATGTGGGAGTGTCCAGCACCTTAACCACCACGCCACCTGCTGGTCCTCCCTACCCCGTCTTAATCCCTGTATTTGTTTATTTTCTTCCTTGATCTTTCCATTCGCCCTGTAGTTCTCTGCTTTTCCGTTCCATTCTGCTTCTAAGTCTTCTAAGTGAATTGCATTCCTGATCTCTTCCACTGCTATTTCCCTTTCTGTGTTTGTCTCTCTTCCTGTCTTCTTTGTCTAGCTGGTTTTTTTTTTTTTTCACTTCTTATCTCTCTATCTCCCATTATCTGGTTTGCACTCTCCCCACTCCCATGTCTCCCTCTCTCCCTGGGTCCTACAGCTGCCTGCACACCAGGCCTGTGTTGTATCTACCTCATTGCTGTCCAAGAACCAGGGCACTGAGCTCTCCACTGTGTCTGTGTTACACATGGTCATGTCCTGGAGGGACCACTTCTTCCCCACCCACTATCCAGGCCATTCATCCCTGGAGTTTCAGCTCCCAAACCTTTTTTAAAAATGATACTTCTCCCAGGCTGGCAGGTGGTGTGGTGGTTAAAATGCTGGACTCCCATATAGCTGACCATGGTTTGAATCTTGGACCTGGAGGCTTGAAAATCAAGCTGAGTGTGTGTGGGTGCATGCCCAAAAGCCCAAGAAAAGAATGGAGGAAAGGGGATTGTGGCATGACCATCCCCCTGGGGAGTTAATTTCTCACTTTCTCTCTCACTGTCTCTCTGTCTTTCTCTGGCAAGCCATGTTCTTTAGTAAAAATATAAATTAAAAAGAAATTAAGTAGTTATGCTGCTTGTCTTGTGGAAACTATGCTTTAGGATAGCCAAAGAGTTTTAGTTGATGAAGTAAATTTTATTCACAGAAGAATTCCAGCTAATTTGGAAGGAACATGGGACTGGAGAAATCACCGTTTTGCAACTCCTAGTGAAATAATTCATCAAAGCAAGAATTGTCAATGAATGAAACCAAGGATGATAGTTGGTGGAGAACTTTATACTGGAGGAATTAAGCTGCCACCATCTGCCACCACTAGTAAATCTTAGCATCACTAACAGTAATACAACCTGGGACATGACGAAGTCTGAAGCACTCAGCAGCAACTACGAAGGATTCTTACCAAAAAACAAATGAACAAAAAATAAACATGAATCTAATGAAAGGTCTAATAGTAACTTTCACTTAATGGGAAATACAAGAGATGGAGGAGCAAAATAAATGGCACGTAGAGGAAGGAATATGGGACTTTCTAGAGAAAAGTCTGACCTCACTGCTTGAATCACACATGATCCCTGACTTATGATGGTTTGACTTGTGATCTTTCAGCCTTGTGGTAGTATGAAATAAATATGCATTCAATAGAAATAATACTTCAAATTTGGAATATTGAACTTTTCTTGAGCCAGCAATATGTGGTACAATATTCTCTCAATAATGCTGGGCAACAGAGAACAGTTTTTCATTTTCAGTACAGTATTCAATAAGTTACATGAGATTTTCAATACTTTGTTATATATATATTTTTTTTTTTTGGAGATAATTTCTCACTTTCTCTCTCACTGTCTCTCTGTCTTTCTCTGGCAAGCCATGTTCTTTAGTAAAAATATAAATTAAAAAGAAATTAAGTAGTTATGCTGCTTGTCTTGTGGAAACTATGCTTTAGGATAGCCAAAGAGTTTTAGTTGATGAAGTAAATTTTATTCACAGAAGAATTCCAGCTAATTTGGAAGGAACATGGGACTGGAGAAATCACCGTTTTGCAACTCCTAGTGAAATAATTCATCAAAGCAAGAATTGTCAATGAATGAAACCAAGGATGATAGTTGGTGGAGAACTTTATACTGGAGGAATTAAGCTGCCACCATCTGCCACCACTAGTAAATCTTAGCATCACTAACAGTAATACAACCTGGGACATGACGAAGTCTGAAGCACTCAGCAGCAACTACGAAGGATTCTTACCAAAAAACAAATGAACAAAAAATAAACATGAATCTAATGAAAGGTCTAATAGTAACTTTCACTTAATGGGAAATACAAGAGATGGAGGAGCAAAATAAATGGCACGTAGAGGAAGGAATATGGGACTTTCTAGAGAAAAGTCTGACCTCACTGCTTGAATCACACATGATCCCTGACTTATGATGGTTTGACTTGTGATCTTTCAGCCTTGTGGTAGTATGAAATAAATATGCATTCAATAGAAATAATACTTCAAATTTGGAATATTGAACTTTTCTTGAGCCAGCAATATGTGGTACAATATTCTCTCAATAATGCTGGGCAACAGAGAACAGTTTTTCATTTTCAGTACAGTATTCAATAAGTTACATGAGATTTTCAATACTTTGTTATATATATATATATTTTTTTTTGGAGAGGTTTTTTTTTTTTTCACTATAGGGCACTTGCGCTCTCCAGAGAGACAGAGAGAGACATAGAGACAGAAAGTGAGAAATCACCCCCCAGGGGGGATGGTCACGCCGCAATCCCTTCTCCTCCATTATCCTCTCGGGATCTTGGGCACGCACGCTCACACTTCCAGCGTGAGTTTTAAGCCACCAGGTCCAGGACACAAACCGTGATCGACTACGTGGGAGTCCAGCGACATAACCATTACGCTAACTGCTGGTTCCCTCAATACTTTGTTATAAAATAGGTTTTGTGTTAGGAGATATTTGTCTAACTGTATGTTAATGGAAGTGTTCTGAGCACGTTTAAGGTAACTAGGCTAAACTGTGCTAGTGAAGATTAGGCATATTAAATGCAGTTTAGACTTACGAATTTTCCACTGAAGGGGGATTTATCAGCTTGTAACCCATCGTAAATCAAGGAGCACCTGTAGTCAATAGCTGGAGGAAACGATGTGGGGGGACTTAAAAAAGACAACTATTACATGGATTATGTGGACTTTGTTGGTTTCCTGTTTGGACAACCCAACAGTAAAGAGACATTTTCAAATAGTTGGGGACATTTAATTATGGCCTGGGTATTTATGATACCAAGGAATCAGGGCTAATTTTGTTAGATGTAAAAATGCCTCTGGGGTTATGTAAGAGAAGGTCTCTGTTTCCTAGAGATGCATGCTGAGGTATGGAGTGAAGTAACCTGTTTAAGTGTCTCAGCAAAGAAAAAAAGTGACAGAAAGGAGTAGAAGGAATAAAATGACAAGATTTTTTTTAAAAAGAATTCTTTTATTTAACTTTATTTTAATTTGACCAGAGAGACAGAGTGAGAGAGAGTGAGAGAATGCGAGAAAGCAAGCCACCAGACCCAGGATTTGAACTGCAGTCAGCCATGTGGGAGTCCAGTGCCTTTAACCACCATGCCACCTGCCAGCCCCAAAATGACAAGATTGATTTTTTTTTTTTGAGAGGTTTTTGCTATAGGGTATGTGCACTCATCAGAAAGACAGAGAGAGACAGAAAGTGAGAAATCACCCCTCAGGGGAGATAGCCACATTGCAATCCCTTCTCCTCCGTTCTCCTCTGGGGATCTTGGGCATGCATGTACACGCACCTGGCGTGAGTGTAAGTCACTGGGTCCGGGACTCAAATCATGGTCAACGATGTGGGAGTCCAGCAACATAGCCATTACGCCAACTGCTGGTCTCGAGATGGATCATTTTTTAATTAAGTACATGGGAGTTCACAGAACTATGATCTCTACCTCTGCCTATGCTTGAACATTTTCTTAATAAAAGTTGTAAAAGCTGCTCCTCTGATAAGCATGGTTCCTAGTAACCCCCAGCATACCCACTTCACCTGCCCTGAAGGCCAGAACTTTCCCTGTGTCTCCCACACAGGGTTCCCAGTCCTCCGTGCCCTCCAACAGAAGCATGCACTGCAGAGAGACTACACTCACAAGCCACCCTGATCCACTCCTTGTCCTCTGCTGGCAAATTCCCCAGGGCTTTTCCTGGCTATGCTTTATGGCTCTGAGGGGCCAGAGAAATTTAGAGTAGACAGTTTTTGAATAGGTCCTATAACAAACCAAGGTGGTCCAAAATAAACCGAATCTTGCCTCAGGTGCTTCTGAGCAAAATGAAACATAGTAATGGTAGAAAACTGGTCTCTGTCCCATGAAACAGACAGCAAGAAATGAAAGGTCACCCTGTCCCATCCACGGCCTGCTGTTGTGAGTTAAAAAGGCTGAAGCTCTGGACTGTGATGTAGAGTACTCGGGTCACCCAAGCCTTCACTACTGAGTGACCATGTTGCTTGGGAAAGAGCTTTCACAGGGAAGAGAATGCAAAGGCCCTGGTGGAAGCCACTATAGACAGAACAGGAGGGAGTGGTAGGGGATGGGGTAAGAGAAAGTGCAGAGGGCCAGGGGACAGAGGGTTTTGTAGGCCATTATGGAGACTTGGGCTTTTACCCTTGGTGAGGTGATAAGCCACTGAAGAGTCTTAAGGAGATATTACTGGCCTGGAGAAAGGTTAAATAACTTTTCCCAAGGTAAGACAGCTAGTTAGTGGCAGATGGTGGGAGTTCAGCTTCTGGGCTCAAGTTTTTAACCCTATGCTGCCGCTGAACCTTTGCCTTCTTTATTTGGGCACTGCTATTCTAGGACTTCATACAAAGTGGGACACTGTTAACTGGCTTGCTCAAGGCCACGCAGCTGGTGACAGGGGAAGGATGGGAGCCTTAGCCTGTCTGCGGCCAGAGTCCAAGTTCTTTACACCACACCGCCTCCCTCAGGTGTCTGGACCACACTGACTTCTGCCTGGAGGTCAACACGGTGGCGGTGGCGGAGGAAGCAAGCCCAGGAGCCCGACCCAGCCTAGGGCGGCGGTGTTCCTTAAGATGGAACTCCTTCGCCTGGCTCTGCCCGCCAGCCGGCATCTTCCCCAAGCCCCGCACGGAGGAAAAGAGAGGAAATGGGGTGGCGTCGCAGGTAACCCCAGGGCAGGGAGACAGATCGCAGAAGGGAAGCTGCAGAGGCCCCACCAGTAGCAGCAACCGCCCCTCCTAGCCGTCCCCTCCCCTACCCCACCCCTCGCGTCGGTAGTTCGCCGGCGGGAAGGCGGGGCGGGGGCGGGGTCTAGCGCCGCGCCCCCGTCACGTGACGAGGCCATCATGGCGGCTGCCGGAGGCCTGCCTGGCTCCCGGA